AGTCGAAATTCGTTATAATCAAAAATTTATTTTTGAATGTAAACACTGTAGTGAGTGTAGTGTCAAATCCAATCCAAACACAACACAGGTCACAAGAATTTTCACAGAACATAAAACGTCATTGTCATCAAAGCCGTCATTGGATTGGTTAATCCTTAATCATTATTTTATTTTAGTGGTCTATATAAATCATGTCTTGTAATTCTTATTCCTTGAATAGTGTTATCTTATGCATCATACTATTTTAATTGCTGTATAAACCCGCCTTTAATGAATGTGATAAAACCCAGAATCTGCAGACAATACATCAGATCTGATGGAATAACATCTGAGGAAAGGCTGGTCATAACACTACATTAGGAATATTTTCAATAGAAATTTATAGAAAATATCTAAGAAATAATTCTATTTCAGATATCTCTCACAAGGTACTAGCATGCAAGCTATAGCATGGACCTTTCATATAGGACTCAGCACTGTACATTATATAATTCATGAAACTTGTGAAGCATTGTGGGATATTTTAAGTTTTGAGTACTTGAAAACTCCAGACACCCAAGATGAGTAGTTGAAAATTTCCAGAGGGTTTCAAGAAAAATGGAATTTTCCTCACTGTTTAGGCAGCATAGATGGAAAACATGTAAAAATACAGGCAGCAAAAAGTGGATCACTATTTTTCAACTACAAAAAAACGTTAAGTGAAGTTTTATTAGCTGGTTGTATAATAGTACTTACAAGTTATAGTGAAATTTTTGTTTCAAAAATTCAATTGATTAATTGGATGCCGAAATACCTGAGATTATGCAATTCTTGCAGAGTTTGATGGAGCAAAAATCTATAAATCATAGGGCTCTTAATGGCCATAGATCGGCGCTATCGTTGATCCTTGAGGGTGAAATAGGTGCGAGTCCAGTCATCAAACGTTTTTTCAGAGGAGTTCTTAGATTGAGGCCCCCTAATGGAAGTATAATTTTACTTGGGACCCAGGAGTAGTTTTATCTTACTTAGAAAATGAGTGTCCCAACGAATATTTATCTGTGGAGGATCTAGCAAGGAAAGTAGCGACGTTATTGGCATTAACGACTGCCCATCGCATTCAGACTTGAGCCCTCATCAGGGTGGACAATATTATTTCTCCAAATGGAATACAGATTTTAATTCCAGATCATGTGAAAACTACAACTGCAAGGAACATGCAACCTTGTTTACACGTGCCTTTCTTTTTGGTATGGGGTATGCGCTGCTTCTGCTTTATTGTGTTATATCCAAGAGACATCAGAGATTAGAACTTAAGCACAAGATTTTTTGTTCTTAACGACTAGAAAACCTTACAGGTCGGTAACGACCAATACTATGAGTCGATGGATTAAGCAAGTACTAGCAGTGGCTGGAGTAAACACGGCCATTTTTTCGGGATATTCAACTCGACACGCAGCAACGTCAGCTGCTTATCGAAACGGTGTCTTGCTGCAAGAAATTCGAAGGACAGCAGGTTGGAATGAAAACTCATTGGTTTTTGCGAAGTTTTATAACAAACCATTGACAGGCCATCTAGATGTAGCGAAGGCAGTGGTGGAAAAATGTAAGGATTCTCAAGAATGAGAGCACATACTTATTAAATTTTGTATGTTTTTTCTCATAGGGCATATGAGATTGTTTTTCATTCAATATTTACTTGAAGGAAGTAAATGTTAATTTCGAGATTATAGCTGTATCTGATTAGGTTCAAATAATGATTGGGTGGAAAAACGCAGACATTAGCTTTAAACATCTACAATTGTGATCTTCAAAGAACGAGGCGCCGAAATATAATTGGACGATCAAATGAACCTCCTGTGAAGTTATTCGTAATTATATGGGGCGCCTCGTTCGAAAAAGATCATTCCCACCTCTCCCACAAAATTGTTGGGAATTTTGGTTTCCCGAATAGTGCGTTTTTTCATGCGTTAACATGAATGACTTCATAGAACATGGAACGTGAAGTGGACATGTGGGAGTGTCTATGGTTACGAAGGGGCGTGATTTTGCGCTTAACTTTGAACTTTGTAGCTCATATCGCGTAAATAACATTACTACCATTGTGATCGTTTTCGAACGAGGCGCCTCATAATAATATAATTACGATCGAACTTCACAGGAAGTTCATTTGATCGTTCAAATCTTGGCGTTGTGAAAAAAACCTAGACATAGCATTTAAAATGGACAGAGATTAATTTTTTCAAGATTGGATTCGTGACAGTTTCTATTCGATTTAATTATTTAATGATGGAAAACATTGATATGTTTATGGAAGATAACGAGGAGTTACTTTCTAAAAGCAGTAGCAGTGATGATGAGGACGCGATAGTGAAATTTAGGCAAGTTTACTCGTCAAGGAAAAGCGGTGCTCCATAACTGAATATGTTACAAAGACACTAGTTTTGACGACGAATTCATTACACATTCTCGTATCAATAGAGAAACGTATGAAAAACTGCTGTCTTTGTACCAAAACAGCATTGAGTATTCAAAAATTGAAATGAGTACTGAAGTTGAAGGGGCCAACATGAACTTTTGCTGTTTCTGTGGTTCGCTGGACATGAAGCCCGCAGCTATCGAGATTTGGCAGACCGTTTTGATGTAACGATATCTTCTGTTCACCGTATGATAGGAGTGACAATGTTCATAAGCAAATTGGCATCTACTTATATCAGATGGCCCACAGAGTAGGCAATGGATATCACATCTCAGTTTTATTTGTCAAAATTCAAATTTCCTTAAGTATTTGGTAAGTAATAATTAAACAAGCAGTAGGTAATCAATGATGTAAATGCTGCAAAATAATGATTATTGATGTATGCTAATATTATGTATAAATTTATCATTATTTCTGATCTTGTTCCTAAATTAGGTAATAGAGAATATTTTCATCATTTCAGGTTCAATTGATGGAACCCATATTGAAATCGATCCACCTAGTGCTAATAAAGATAATTATATATCAAGGAAAGGTGAAATTGCTCTGCATTTACAAGGAATATGTAATGAAGAAAAAAAAAATCATAAATATTTTCATAGGGTATATCCAGCATCTGTACATGATGCAAGAGTACTGGCCAGTTCAATGATTTGATAAGTGAAAATCTTTGACAATTTCAAAACTATATAATTAATACAAGTTTAAGGCTTATGCATAGAAGAATCAATTTGTTTGAATACTATCAAGTGGTGGTTGGATTTTCAATGCTCCAAACTTTTTAATTTTTTATAGTTTCTTTTTATATTCCAGACAAGTAGCTCTTGAGAGATTCAGCATATCCATGCACCTCTTATTTAATGACACCTTATAAAAACAATGGACATTTCACTACCAAATAGAAGAATTTCAATTATATGTTGAGTCAGTGTAAAGCTGACATTGAGGATACATTTGGAATCTTGAAACAGAGGTTTCGTCAACTATATTATTGTAAATTAAGAGGGGTTAAATTCATTTGTCACTCCATCAGATCATATTGTGTTCTTCACAACATGTCGAAAATTGAAGACATCGAAGGTCTTCAAGAACAACCACCATTTGATGAGGCATTTGAAGCTGAGGAAGAAAGAGATGAAATTTCGAAAAATCTTGAGAGTGAAGTTGGCAAAGCAATCAGAGAATGGATTGCCCAAGAACTTCTACCAGTAGAGAAGAGAAAAAAGATCTGAGTGGCCGTCTGATTTACTATTATTAGTAAATTTTTAATATGGTTAAAAACACCAAGAAATAAATATTCCTCATTGAAATAATCATCAGTCTCTATTACTAATAGACTAGAACTTTGTCTCACTGAAAATAATGAACTAGTATTCAAGGAACAAACGAAAATAAATAAAAATAATTTGAATAAAAAACAACTAATACATAAAATCTGAAAAAAACTTATAACAACTAGATAAAAAAGCAGATACATACAATTTGAAACTATTCACAAATTCTATGGCCCCTCTACCTCTTCTTTCTTGAGTCCCACTACATATTGCCGCTTAGACTGTTTCTAAGAATTTCTGTTCTCTCTCTGTAAGCTGCCAGAAATTCATTTTGAAAACTTATTTTTCTATTTTCTTTTTCTTCTTTAAATTTGAGTTCATTCTCTCGAATATTCCGTAGCTATCGAATCTCTTCCAAGAGTTCCTTCTTTTTCTTTGCTGCAATGGGTATGTCAGCAGTAACTCCAGCTGTTTCCATAATTTGACTTCTAGTCATTCCCTCAGATTCATTGTCTATAACAAACTCTGGTAATATAGTTCGGTTTGACTGGTTGATCTGGGAGAGTTCTCTATAATGGTGAATAGTATTAGTCTCTAATTATTATGAGCAGATGGAAATAAACATGCACTCACTATTCAAATTCAGAACTTGCACGATTTCTTTATGCTGTCTTGTTTTGGATAGTTTTTTCTTTATAGTCCCGATCAAGGGTCTCGTGAAATTATACCCTTTTTCATTTATCTTTGAAGTAATCACTGTCGACATAGCCTTCTTGTTCTTGATTAGCATTGTTTTTCCCACTTTGGTTAAATATTCCTGATATAAGCATAACACCCAGCGAGCAGAAAAACATCTCAGAGATGTTATAAGTACGAGATATCAAGACATTGAACCTCCACTGCGATGTTCTGTTCACACTTGAATAGAACTTTCATACAGCCGATGTCAGCCGCAGGTGGCCTTCATAAAGATGTCCCTGGGATGTCACAAAAATACATTCTACCTGTTTTTTATAGCCTTTTCATGCTCACAACACAACATTTCCAAAGCGTTTTGCGCACATTTAATCGCTGCAAATAATCCATTCCAAAATTAAAAAAAAAAGCATCCCTGTTGGGGAATCGAACCTAGTCTCTCTTGATTGAATTTTTACAATCCTTACACCACTGCGCTATTGGAACCTCATTCCTTCCTAGGTCCTTCCAGGCGGAGTGGTACTTACGAGTACTTTCTTACAGTTGAAGGCAATAAAATACAAGTCTGCAAGTCTATGTTTCTTAATACATTAGGAGTGGGGGAAAAGATGGTCAAGAACTGGGTGAGCGCTGCAATAAAAGATGGATGTTTAGAAAACAGTGGCATGAAACAAGCAATGATACAAGAAAAAAAGAAGTCTACTTCAAAAATAAAACAGGATATTTCGCGAGTAAAACATTTGAGAGAATTTCTGGAAAGATTGCCAAAGATAGAGAGCCATTACTGTCGCAAGAAAACCGGAAAGTTGTACCTCGAACAGAATTTCAAATCTAAAACTGAAGTATATAATCTTTACAGTTGTAAGTTCTCTAATGAATTTGAAGACCTGAATTTAGCATTGTTCAAACCACGCAAAGATCAATGTGATGTGTGTTCATCTTACAAGATGAAGCAAGTTACAGAAGAACAATACGTAGCCCATATCAAAGCAAAAGATCTAGCTCGTGCCGAGAAAGAAACCGATAAAGCTAGGGCTATCCGTGAAGAAATTCACTGTTTTGTAGTTGATGTTCAGGCAGTCAAGTTATGTCCAGTTCTACAGGCTAGTTCTTTATACTATAAAACGAAGCTACAAATCCATAATTTTACAGTATATAACTTGAAAAACCATCGCAGTATGAATTTCGTGTGGAATGAGACTGAGGCCGAACTTGATTCATCAGTATTCACTACGTGTTTAATAAAACATCTAGAAGAGTATTTGACCAATGAAAAGAAAAACATCATAGTGTTTTCTGATGGCTGTGGCTACCAAAACAGAAATGTCGTACTTGCGAATGGTTTGTCGGTTTTAGCTTCCAAGTATGATGTAGAGATTGAACAAAAATATCTGGAACGTGGGCATACTCAGATGGAGTGTGACTCCACACACAGCCTTATTGAACGAAAACTAAAGAATCGGCAGATATTCTTACCTACAGACTATATTTCAGTAATCAATGAATCTAGGAAAACTCCCACACCTTTGGAAGTGGCCTATCTTAATCACGACTTTTTTCTAAACTATAATGATCCTAAGAAATTTCGCTACAGTTCAATTCGTCCTGGTAAATCCAAAGGAGATTTGAAGGTAACAGATATTAGAGCTTTAAAATACTTATCAAATGGTGAAATATTCTACAAAGTGGCCCATGATGAAAAATATGAACTCCTTCCTCAAAGAAAGAACACCGTCAACCACAATTCGAATTACGATAATCTTTATTCAAATAGATTGAAAATATCGAAGAAGAAATGGCACGACCTCCAAGAAATGAAGTCTGTACTACCGACAGATGTCCATTACTTCTATGATGAGAAATTGTACTAGGCTAGTTCAGTCCAGAGACAATAACGAAAGAAGAATATGAATTTGAACGGTATTCTTTTATGATTTTCTGTTTTTCTTACTCTGAATTAGTTATTTTTTGATAGGTATCTTTTTCGTGTTAGGAATACAAATTTGTGTCTATCTGTTTAATTAATAAAAAAATAAATATATTTAGCAAGTCAAGTATAGTTTTCTGTTTTTCTTGCTTTGAATTAGTAATTTCTTTGATAGGTATCATTTTTGTGTAATGAAAACAAATTTGTATCTGTTTAATTAATAAGAAAAAATATTCAGCAGGTTCAATCATGATTATATCATTCTCATTGAAAATGACGTAAGCCTCAATATTTTGTATCAACCTCAGGGCTACTACTCTTTCCAGATTTCGAAATACTCGTAAGCCACAATCGAGTAGGTGACAATATGTCGTATTCCACATTATTTTCATTAAATATTTGAAAATTAAGTTATTTCACAATTAATGCACTGAGTGAACGTTACTCAAACATTTATCCATGAAAAATCATACGAGTAATCATTCAATAGCATGTCATGAAGTTTTTCGTGCCTCCTGTAAAATTTCATTGAGTTGGGTTACGACATGTCAGCATTAGGGTATCGAGGTGCTGAACTTGCTGAAATAATTATATTTTGAGTGGGAGAACGTGGAATAGATTTTTCTGGTTTGAAAACTTTTTCTGCATCATTTGAATCAATTCCCGCCAGTAATTCCATGTCTTCATTTGCCTCATTTCTGTTATTTGTGCCACCGTATATTTCTAAATCTTTATCCTTCATTGTTTTTAGATCTTTATCACTTGCCCGCGGTTTTTGCTGTTCTGCTTGTTTTTTTGATTGAATACCTATAATTGTATTTATGTCGTGTTGGGAAAGTTCAATAGATTCATTAGAAAATAAACGACGTCTTTCAAACTGTTTTATCCTTGTAGAACTTTTATCACCCATGTTATTTCATGAGCGAATTTCACTACTCGTGATAAACAATGCAGTTTTATACTACAAAAACAACTTTTTTGTGTACTACCTTCGAAACACGTCCATACAGTACGAGATCAAGACTACTATACTACTATAGTAAGCATAACTAGGTATGTCAGGAGATGACAAGAAATATAACCTGAGATCATTTGAAGTCAAATTGAAAACTCCTGATTGTAATAATTTCAGTAGTTCTAACCTACCTGAGCCTAATGTGCGATCTGGATCATCTAGTTTAGGTGGATTTGAACCACAATTGAGTAGTACTGTTACTGATTATAACCTTTTCGAAAAATCTAGGAAGCTATCTAGATCGCCTATCAGAACTCAATTATCAGTAGATACCTCTAAGTTAGAACTTGAACTACAAACTGACCAATCCTTTTTTGAACAAAATAAAGATTCTAGTAGTGACGACTCTGAAAACGAAAATATCGAAAGACAGACAGAAGTGACAATAATTGACAACCACGAAAATTTTGATAATAAGACGAATATCACGGAAGATATTGATAAAATTACAAATATTGAGTTTACTAGAGGAACTATTCAATCGACAGACAGAAATATGGCAGAAAGAAAGACATAAACATTTATACACTACCAAACGGTTATGCTCTAGTTTGCTTCATCTCATCCGATTTAAAACAAAACAGTACCATTGACGAAACATTATTTTATAAACTTTTCCAGATTAAAAATAACACGAATGAAATAGTAGAACCGGGCGGATTAATAGTAAGAGAAGATAGTAACAGAAAAATCTTCTTTTTGATTTCAAAAAATGAATTTTCAGAAAACTGTTCAATGGAAGCAATATGTTGGTGAATAATATTAAGAAAATAGCGATCTCGAACACATTAGAAAAAGATGACAATATGAGATTATTCAATAACATGCTTAGCTTTATTTTCAATGACTTAGAAGTTGATATATTGATCTGTTAAGTGCCTTATCACTGTTCTGCTTCAACATTCGACCATCCTATTATTCACGAAAATGAGATACATCAAACAAGCAAAACCGAAAAAATAAATACTGAAATTCAACCTGAACCAGAGTATAAAGTGTCACTGGTAGAGGACTGTTATCTTGAGCCGTTGAAAGTAAATAAACTAAAAGTTCACGTACAAGGACGAACAGCGAATAATTTGCAGTCAATGCATTTTCAAGAGAATGAGGAATTCTTGGTCCCACGTGGATTCATATGTTCAGCCCTCGGTTCAGCCCCTGATAATAACTCAGAAGTATCTTTAATCAACAAAGGACACACAACTATGGAAGTTTATAAGAATACTACATTGGGTTTCATGAGAAACAATACCACGGACAATTCTATTGTATTATACACGGAACAAACGGACGACATAGTAACAAAGGACGATCATGACCTATCTCATATAACTGACAGATATTTCAAATCTAAGATAATCAAATATTTGGATGAATACAAAGACGTTTTTTCAAAATCGACTAGACAAATGAGCCTCATTAATTTAGTTGAACACAAAATCGATACGGGTGACGCACATCCAATAAGGAGCTACCCATACAGGGTGTTCCAAAAAGAGAGGAATATAATCGATCAGCAAATATCAGAGATGTTAGAAAATAAAATCATTAGACCGAGTCATTCACCATGGGCAAGTCCAGTCGTACTAGTTAAAAAGAAAAATGGACAAACACGTTTTTGTGTAGACTACCGTAAGCTTAACAGTGTCATGAAAAAATCAATGTATCCTTTACCGAACATCGACGATATTTCAACATATTTACATGGTGCTAAATATTTCACTACGCTGGATGCGGTTACTGGCAAGTCAAAGTCGATGAGGATTCCAAACCATGTACTGCTTTTGTTGCTCAGGGACATGGTCAATATGAATTTAACGTACTGAGCTTTGGTTTGTGTAATCTCCAGCTACATTTCAAGAACTTACAGATAAAGTTTTCAGAGGAAAGAAATGGAAAGATATCCTCATCTACTTGGACGATGTCATCGTTTTTTCTTAAACTCTCGAAGAACACCTTGATAATGAATTAGAAAAAGTTTTCATCAGATTGAGAGAGGCAAACCTCACCCTTAAACCGAGTAAATGTTTTTATGTCAAATCAAGAGCAGTCACTATCATCTTCGGATAGGAGTGACTGGATTCCGCCCTTACATATTGTCTGATAAATTTTGTGTACCATCGAGGTTTTGATTATTTTGTAATTCGGGCAATATGAATAAAGACATATTATTGTTATTATTATTATTATTATATGTTAGGATACGTCGTCAGTAATAAAGGTTTAGAGCCAGTTAATGATGAATTGTTAGCGATTAAAAATTTTCCCACTCCAAAATCCATTAAAAATATTCGAAGTTTCATTGGATTGTGCAATTACTTGTAACGATCCAGTAGACTATTCATGTCTACCTGTCCATTACAGAAGTATCCCACTCACAATATGCTACCAAACAAGTATTTTTCATCAACACAATCACCAAGAACAAAATGTAACTGTTTTCAATAACCAAATATTACCAGTACCATAGAGAAAAACCCAAAGTCAGTACCTTAGTAAATAAATTCCTATTCGCGTTGGACGTCCTTCACACTGTATCAGCACGTATTTAATATCCAGATGCCACCTGTAAAGGATTTCATTTCATGATGTGTTTTCAAGTCCATGTTTATTTTTGGTAAACAATACAATACTCGCGATCAGCTGACTGAGCCATTAACCTCAATCCTGATTCTTCGTTTCAAATTTGCACGGCCTCAGCGTAATAATTACTTTTACCTAATTAATCATTGGCAATAGTGAACTCTGCGCGCTTTTCAAGCACTCAGCCTAGTTCACACCACACTCGATAACCTGAAACGGAACGCGGTTCCGAAATGTCAATTACAACTTGTAGCCTATTGTAATAGGGATTCTTTGAGAGGATCGAGTAGTGGAGGAATGAAACGTTCTCTCTCTAATGGCGCTTTGTTGTGTTAGCATGCCACCTTTTGAGCTGAAAATTATTGTTTTCAAAAGGCACGTCCTTTTATGATGAAGGCCGATTTACAACTCTAGGCAAGTTACTAATATATTTATCTTCAAAATTATAATAAATTATGTATCGAGTCATATCGGAATGTCTTGAAAACACTATCATAATGATTTCATTTCAGGCCTTCAACCTTCACCTTTTTTTGTCACATGGTAATGCCATGAAATCTTCATGTGCTATTTAAAGGCGGCTGCCTAATTTTCCTGAGCCATGTATAATATTTAATGCTTATGGGGCAATCATACATTTTGTCTCTCCAACTGGATTCCTCCGGATTTTGTATCTCCGTGATGGATGTCAGTGAATAAAATAATGTTCACCTTGTATGTTTTCCTGAACCAATGCTGAGAAGTAGTCTTGTGTAGTTCGCGAACGAACTAGTTCGAAAGAGCGCTCCCCGAGGTGAACTACGCGAACTAGTTCGTTGTCAATCTGGGTTTCAGTTCGTTAGTTCACTGAAAAATGCAGCAAACGTTGACCGACCAGACCGAGACCGACCGATCATCTCTCTGTCACTGCCGAGCGTGCGAGCGTCGAGCGAGAGGACCGAGACTTGCATCAAATGAACAAGCGATTCAGCGATTGGGATCGTGTAATGCGAACCGCTCAACTTCCCGGCCGGTCACTTTTGTCATTTCACAGCGTTCGCAGTTCGTAGTTCGTAGTAGAATCGTTCTGCGACTGCGATGCGATCCATGCTCTCGCGTAAACAGGTAAAAGACTGACAGGAGGTCACATCACATAGATAGCAACAAAACATCAAGCAGAGTGTATTGAGCTCGTCGCGCGCTTTTGTTTGAAATTCAATCTAAGTTTGAACAATTTGGTTTTGCAACGTTTCTGTAATAATTGATTGTAATAGTGTTATCATTTAATAGGGTAAGTATAATAGGTGTTTGTTAATATAATAGACATAAATAATATGAAAACCTTCTAGAGTTCCTTGTGACATTTT